AGCACATGGCGAGCACTACGGCATAAAATATCCGTAGAAATTCCTCTATCGGATCGTTAAATATTTGATTTTAACAACTTACAAAAAATATTGCAATAACAATCATATGAATGTTAATCGTTATTTTAAGAAGTAAGGGGGTACAAATGAAAATATTTGAAATTGATAACTTTTTTCCATTTTACTGAGACGGTCTTTAAACACTTCTTTCTTTCTTTCTTTCTTTCTTTCGTTCTTTCTTTCTTTTTTTTTTTCAAATCCCAGTCATTTCTCTTCATAATAATTTCACGGTTTTCGTATTTGGATTTTCTGATGAATCTTAATTCTTAACATAATGATAGAATAAACTCATGAAGAGTTCTACGACAATAAAATAACCGTAGAAATTCCTTTATCGCATCGTTAAATATTTTAGCTTAACAACTTTGACAAAATATTATAATAACACTGATAAATATATAAATATGAATGATGGTCGTTATTTTAAGAAGTGGGTACAAATAAAAAGATCTGAAATCATCATCTTCACTGAAACAGCCGTTAAACACTTCTATCTTTCCTTCTTTCTTTCTCTCTTTCATTCATTTTTGTCACTGAAACCAAGTAGCGTATGGCCTTTGTTTTTCTACGCAATCAAAACAGAATACTACATTATTTATGGGATATTGGCAGGAGACGTTAAACATTTGCATCTTCCTTTCTTTGATTTTTTTCTTTCTAGTCAAATCACCATCTTGCGAACATTTCTCTTGATAATAATTTTAAAATAATTCAGTAGACGATGTTATTTTATTTATGGTAACTGAATTTGTGGCGATTACCTTAGTCGGTTTCCGTTGTTTCATACTATGAGACTAAAAAATGCCGTTTTAAACGGAAACCATCGCTTCTCGGCCTTTTGGCTAAGATTCGATCACGGCTACGCCTAGCTTGGAACAGCTCGGGTCTGGACAAGCTATGACAAGCCAAAACCAGCTATGGCTAGCTCTGACCAGTTTTGACCAGCTTGGACAAGCTACGACCAGCTAAGACCAGCGGCCCGAGTGAAAACACTCGGGTCCCCACGTTAAAAACCGACCTTGTGTCACAACCTGACTCAATAGTGGGGAGGGGAAGTAAATAAAGCTTCTTAGCCTTTTGGCTAAGATCAAAATGTAGTATCTGTTTTTATCAGCTTAATTTAATTCACTCTCTGTCTCTCTCTCTCTCTCTCCCCATTTCTATCGTCCCGTTTTTCTTTCTTTTATTCATCTTCTTACTGAAACCAGGTAGTGTCTTTTCCCCGCTTTCCACGCGATCAAAACGGAATAGTTCCTTATTTATGAAGTATTGGCGGGGCTTAACGGTCGTGCGAACTAACGAAGGGAAGCACAAGCACAATTATAATAGGATATTATCTTGTATTTTATTATTATTTGATAAAACATTGTCAACCATTATTAGTTTTTACTAATATTTATTTCATCATAATTTCTCCCGCTTTTTATTACATTAGTAGTGTTACTAGTAATATTATTTTGAATTTTATTATTAGCTGAAGCATTGTCAACCATTATTAATGTCTGACTAGCATTTATTTCATTTTAATTTCTATCGTTGTTATTGCAAGTGGTAATATTGTAGGTACATCAAAATAAGGAATACCTAAGTTTAAAATGTGTGAAGCTTTAATTGTAGTTCAAATCCCTAGATAATTGATTAAATTTAATATTCCAAATGAGCAAAATACTTTTGTCTATATCAAACCAAATTTAAAATGATTGGAATCTTTTTTTCTCATTATCAGTAAAATCTATAAATCCGTCCATATTGACAGATCTGTTAATACAACATAATTCTCTTTATTAAAAATCTTTCAAAAATAAAATATACTTTTCTGAAATGTTATTTGGAAAAAAATAGCTGTCTTAAAGTTTAATTAATTTGTACTGAATCAAATATTACTTACTTTAATTTAAAATATCGCCAAAAAGCATCTTTTTTTTAATACCGACCAGGGTTTCTGGACGTGTTGAGTGATTTATTGGGAAAATTAAGTAAGAGGGACATAATTTTTAAAAATACATGGCGAATACAACGTAATCGACATTTTATATAATTATTAACTTTCCAGTAATCTTAAAATTTAAAAATATTTTAAGCATTTTATTGAATTTTAGGTACTTTGGATTATTTACGAAGATGCGTGTTTAGAAAATGTTAGAAAATTACCAATATGTTTTACATTTACTATAAGTACCACTTTTATTTTCTGTAAATATCGTGTATGGATCTCCGTATTTACAAAAATCAACACGACTATACACACTTAGAAAATGTCAAAATTCTTTTCAGGATGCTGGGGCAAGTTGCATTGTAAGTGAGATTTACATTTATGACTAGCAAATATTCTTTTAATTTAATGACAATATTACTTGATTACAAATTCATAGAATTTTTAAAGATTTAAAAGTATGTAAATTATTCTAATTAAAATTTAAAAAGAAAATGAAAGTAATTCTCATTAAAATTTTATTCATCATCGAAAAGAGTTTTTCTTAAGATAATAGTGTCCTTAATTTGTTAAATTCATAAAAGTTATTAAAAACTTTTCTAATTGAATAATGTCTTTGTTTTATTATATATTTCATTTTACGATTCAGAGCAAGTTTTTAAATTTTTAAAGATTGGAGATCCGGTTTGACAAATAATTTGATGATTTCAATTCTCCGAGGTCTTATTCTTATAACGTATATAAACATAAAGCGTTACAAAAAAGAATTTCTCTAAATTTCATAAAATTAAATCAGTTGTGAATAACATGAAAAAAACAAAAATTTTCATAAGGATCTTCTAAAAAAAAATTTCAAAAATAATTTATTGCATTTCTGAATCAGTTTTGAAAGTTTCACTAAAATCCAACAATTACCGTTTTTGATCTAAGAATTTCCAAATCAAAGTATTTTTTCTCACCACAAAAAGACGCTCATATTTCCCGTGGAAAAATAAGGTCTCCAGTTGGCGCTAGAAAAAATATCTAACTAAAATTTCTAAGGTTTAAAAAAAAAAAGTTTTACATTGAAAAATTCTTTCATCTTTCCTTTTAATAATGGCAGGAGAGATTTTTAATGATAAAATTTTGTTTTTATTGTTTTGGGCATTTTTTCATCATATATAATCCAAAGAAGAATCTGCAATGTTATTGGTCGTGACCTGACATCTCGGCTTCAGTCCCTTTCCCGCTGCTGTAACATAGTTTCTCTGTGTCTTTTCTATAAATACTTTCATGGTAATTGTTCGGATGAAATTTACTCTACAGTACCTAGACTTTAAGTGCAGTACTAGATTGGTGGCAAAGGTCTCATCAATTTACAGGTGAAATGGCTAGATGCAACTCTAAGTTCTACGTTAACAGTTTTTTTTTCTTGCATTTCTCGTATGTGGAACTCTCTTCTGGCATCTTGCTTCCCAGTTAACTTCAGTCTTCAATCTTCAAAAATTCAAACGCAATGTCAATCTTTATCATCAGTCTTCTGTCATCTTGTTTTATTGTCCTCTCTCCTTAATAGAAGTTTTTCCCATATTCTCTAACACTGAGTAACCCCTTGCGTCCGAGTGGCTTTATTGCCTTGCGTGGAGCGAAATGATTAATGAAAAATTTAAAAAAAATAAAAATCAATTGAAATTAAGATGAAAGAAATCCTAGTCAAAAATGAATAATGGCTGACAATGCTTCATCTAATAAGAATAAAATTCAAGATAATATTGCTACTAATACTACTAATGTAATAAAAAGCAATTGAAATTAAGATGAAAGAAATCCTAGTCAAAAATGAATAATGGCTGACAATGCTTCATCTAATAAGAATAAAATTCAAGATAATATTACTACTAATACTACTAATGTAATAAAAAGCAATTGAAATTAAGATGAAAGAAATCCTAGTCAAAAATGAATAATGGCTGACAATGCTTCATCTTATAAGAACAAAATTCAAGATAATATTACTACTAATAATTTGGCAATGCTTCATGTAAGAAATTCGATTATTATTCCAACGAATATTGACTTAATGATCTGAGAGTTGCGATAAAAATAACAGAAATACGTTGACATTTTTAACTTAATGATAAAAGAAGGTTGTTATCACGTGGGTTAAAGCGTTGGTTTATGAATTTGGTGACATAGTAATTGTGAGTTCAATCTCCGGGTCGGGCAGTGTGTAGTTGGACTCAGTGGAAACAGAGCGAGCAATAACTAAATAATACTAAACAAGAAGAACAAGACGAGATATCCCGAGACCTGGGCAGTGGAACGAGAAAGCTTCAGTTAGGAATTCCCTGAAGGTTACTCCGATCGACATGCATCTGATGAAGGCCTGAAAATGCAACGGCTGAAACGTTGTAATAACAACAAGAAAGATAAGGATAATAGTCCGCATGGAAATAGCGTAAATACGATAATCTTAACAATTAACAACGCTAATTTCACAGTAAGCGCCTCTCTCTCGTGTAATGGTTAAGGAGTAAGACTAGGTGACCATTATCACTGATTAGTGACTTCGATCCTCATTGGGTTCCTCATTTTTTAGATCTTTATGTAAAACTAAGTTAAACTATCACGGATGTAAATGTCTATAAAAACTGAACCAGGATTAGATAAATCAAAGCCAAAGGTTTAAATAATTTTTTTAATGAAGGCATGAACTCTATGAAAAAAGAATAGGGAGTGGTGCATAATCACATTGACTCAACGGATTTAATTGGGAAATACAATTAAAAAAACGCCTTGAAATCCTAAATATGCAAAATGAAGAACTTTTATTAAAGGTCGCCATTTTTTTTAGATCTTTGACGCCTATCAGAGAATCCATGATCCCTTATCGAACACTAAGGCTGACGGTCACATCACGTTGAAACATCGAAGTTAAGCAACGTCGAGCCTGGTCAGTACCTATATGGGTGACCGCTTGGGAATTACCAAATGCTGTAAGCTTGGATGTGCGGGTAGTATAATGGGTTTGCCGCCATATCACGTTCAAACGTCGGTTTCCGTACGATCGATCACCAAAGCTAAGCAACGTCGAGCCTGGACAGTACTTAGATGGGTGACCGCTTTGGAATACCAAATGCTATAAGCATTGCTATAATGGACTTACGGCCATATCACGTTGAAACGCCGTTGAAATGCTCGTATCATATATTAAGTTAAGCAACGTTGAGCTTGGTCAGTATCTAGATGGGTGATTGCTTGGGAATACCAGGTGCTGTAAGCTTATATTTGCAGATGGTGTAATGTGCTTACGGACTAATGGTAAAACACCGTTTCCCGTACGATCACCAAAGTTAAGCAACGTCGAGCCTGATTAGTATCTATCTGGGTGACCGCTTGGGAAAACCGGGTACTGTAAGCTTGGATGTGCGGGTGGCGTACTGGGTAACGGCTCGGAATTGGAAATCAGAGAGCCGAGTTCCAATTTCAGTTCGGTACGTTATATTCACTTACAGGCAAGTACCTTTGGGAAAGGCATGAATCCACATCTTCTCCTCGCAGCTATTTTATTAATTAGTAAGATTTGTATCACTAAAACCTGTATAATGTCCAAAACTAAAACAAAATTGTGTACAAAATACTTAGATTTCGGCATTAAATAACCCATAGAGGTGTTGATATGCCGCTAACAAAAACAACCAACCAACATCATCGGCTACTAAGCATGCGCAATAAGGTTGTTGCTATTTGGTTAGAAATTGGTGAATCCTAGTCGTAAGTCAGTCTGGTTCATTTATCTATAATTATTATGTTATCTATAATTTATTATGTTCATTATATACGGGAATTTTATCGATCTGCTGCATTGTCTTCATGATATCGATCACTTTGGGGAGGACCCTTGCCTTAAATAAGATCCGACTGAATCGATAAATTCTAGAACAAGATCAATGAACATGAATTAAAAACAAGTTAAAACAAACTAGGAGACAGATATAGTCTGAGGGCTACATTTAAAGGTTTTGTTTTAAATGTTTGATTGTTTATTTTCTCTTGTACGATAAAAACACTTACCGGAGTTGACCAGGGCGAAAATGGCGAGCAAAGCTGATGTTCTAGTCGCAGTCATCATGGTGAAGATTGAAGAGATGGAAAGGAGTCAAGAGCGTCGAGACAGGCAAGTGGACGGTCAAGTGAAATACGACTGGAAAGAAAATTCTGGTAAGACGAATGGAGAACATCGGATTGACTTGCTTTTTTTTTTATTCCAAAGTGATTTGCAGCCTGTCAAAATGATCGAGTTAGACGTTCAAACCGTGACCTCGTTTTCCTTTTTCTGCCATGTCTATATAAACCATTTTTTTGTTTTCCTTTATCTCCACCCAGTCAAATAAATTCTTCTTTTTGTTCTTTTTCCCCATTCTTTCACTTTCCCTCTCTCTCCCCGTCCCTCTCTCTCTTTCCACACACATACACACACGCATATATATATGTGTGTATATGTATACACATTTAAACATACTACATATATATATATATATATATATATATATATATTAATAAATATACATATATACATATATATATATATATTAATAAATATATATATTATATATAATATATATATATATATATATATATATATATATATATATATATACCCAAGTTTAGGATTGATGTATACGGATTAAATTCCAATAACCAACAATTACTATTCTTAAAAGAGTGCTCAATACAGTGTAGAGCGAATATAATTATCTATTTAAAAATTATTTTTTAAATAAATAATTATATATATATATATATATATATATATATATATATATACTAGCAGTAGAGCCCGGCGTTGCCCGGGGATGTAACAGTAAGAGATAGATCAAGTATCGACCATTATAAAGACTGAAAAATAAAATTGACAAAAATTATTGTTTAAGGTTGACGGACACGCATGTCTTAATTAGTATTTTTTTTTTTTTTACGAATTGGTCAAACTCAAACAAAAACATTGTTTTCAATCGTTATGAGTCTACCGACGATTGAATAGAATTTTATTATAAACAATTGTCTTGTAAATGGAATTTTTAAAGCATTCTGAATGTAAAAATAAAGAAAAAAGTGTGCAAGACAATAAGAAACACTACCTGCCCCCCCCCCAAAGTGAAGTTTTGTTGAAATCGGTTGAAAAATATAGAAAATCCGATCCCATATATAAACGCACACACACACACACACACACACACAAACAACCTGGGTTTTATAATAAGTATAACTCGATATGAGTTGCCCCCCTTTCATTCTCGCGATGCCTCTTAATCGTGTTTTCAAATTGATTTCGTGAAAAACAATTGTGTTTTTCCAATTTTTGGCGCTGTCAGAACCACTGCAAGGTAATTTTATGTAGTCCTGTGAAGTTTTGTTGAAATCGGTTGAAAAATGTAGGAAATCCGATCCAATATATAAACGTACGGACACACACACACACATACACAACCTGGGTTTTATAATAAGTATGATATATATATATATTATTAAATAATATCCGATGCAATGAGAATGAAAGTAATATATAAATTCTACTGTCCACACATTAATCCAAATGAGGGATCGATACTGATAGTAGAGCGATAATTATTTATTATAATTTTATCATATAGACAAAAACAGTGAGTAAACTGTCTTTGTCTATATGATAAAATTAAAATAAATATTATTAAATAATATATATATATATATATATATATATATATATTAAAAAAAATACATATGCATGTTGATAATATTCATTACTGCGCAAGTATACCTCCTATATATATATATATATATATATATATATATATATATATATATATATATATATATATATATATATCGCACATATGTTGCTGGCGTTAATAAAATAGTGCTCGATGTAATAAAACAGAGCTATCGATAAATATACATATTATTCCTCACCGATAGCACGACTCGGTTATGCTATTGGTTAAATACTAACGCAATAATCAAGGAATGTTTCTATTTAACCAAACGTATATACCCCGTGTAACAGCAAAATTGTCCACGTGGAACAGCATAATTATGCATCCCACAAAAGGTTTAATATCTAAAAAAAACACTAAACTAATTGATTTTCTTTTTTCCAGGTTTTCAGATAATACATTTAGCCGTATTGCCACCATTTTTCTTAAGAAAAGATGAAAAACCCATTGAGTTATTCAGATAAAAAGTGTGTAGGTTACAATTGCTTTGATGTCAAACCCACTGTCTTCCCAACTCAGCAATGGAAAAAAGAAAAAGATCATTCTGGCCTTCAGTAATGGTACCAACATTCATAATCTGGCTTCCATCTTCAAGAACCATCAAGAGAACGCTAAAGAATGTTAAAAAAAGAGGTAACAGTAGAGAAGAAAATTGGATCAGGGGTCGCAACAAGAAGAGAAATCATCATTTGAATCTAAAGGGATCAATTAGAAAAGATCCAACTCAATCCTTAAGATGTTTGCCACGTGAGAGAGGAGTTTCAGCTATTACAGCGCAAAGAGCAGTGAAAATGAAATTGTATGTGGGACTTGTGAGGCACGTTGTTACTCCAGGACAGAAAGTTAGAAGTTTACAGAGAGCGAAGATAATCTTGAATAAGTTGGAAAATGATCCCGGAATAATATATATCTATATATCAATCCTTAATGAGCTTCTGATCCTTAGCTATGATTAATTAATGATGAACATGCAGATTTATAAAGGTGCAAGGTGGATTCTAAGGAAAAAAATTCTGGCACGTCACAATGGACCAACTTTCGTAGCAGTTGACCTCGTAATTGATTTAATATAAGTACCTCCACAAGATTGCTAAAAAGAATTAGCATACCGTTCTGAAAATATTCTCCAAATGTAATGAAAACATAGTTAATCGTCAAACTCATTATGTTATTATTAAGAAGAATGGTCAAGGTACTTTTTTTTTTTTGTTTTGTTTTTTTTATTATTTTATTAAATTTTTTCCTCCATTTTAGGATATTCAAAATTTTGATTCGTTTTTCTTGCGTCGGCAATTGTACTAACTTTTAGCATAGAAAATTTTCGCCTCTTTTTTTGCGGTGACAAACACATTAATTTGGAAATTCTTGCAAAACTCAAAAAAATTCTAGGAGTTTAACGAAATTTTCAGGGCTTATTCACAAATGAATTAAATTATTTTTGAATTTGTTTTATTAGAAAATCTCGATAAAAATATTTTTTTACGTGTGTTTCTCCCGCTTACTTTATTTTATGAAATCTCCAGAAATTCATCGAAATAATTTGTTGTGACTATAAGAGTTAAAAGCAACATTTATTGAAGAATTTAAATCACCGATTTTATTTTGCAAAAATCGAACCCGGTCTTACCGAAATTCTGTTCTGAATCGAAAAATAAAGATCGCAATAAAACTAAGACATTATTTAATTAGAGAAACATTTAATTGCTTTTATATGAATAAGATATATTATAGACAATATTGTTTCAAGATAAAAATTTTCGATGAAAAATGAATTTTTACAAGATTTGTTTTCATTTTTTGCCAGTTTTTACTTTTAAAATTGAATTATTTATAAAATTTTTGCATCTTTTAAATTTCAGTTTCGATGAGATAATTTTTAGCGAATATTGTTATTAAGTAAAACTATATTTACTAATCATATATTTTAAAGCTTATTAGAATCTGAAGGTCCCGACTATTTTTAAAAGAATTTCGATTTGTTTTTATACACACATAATTTTAAACTAAGGATGTCTAAACCTATAATGTTATCATTAAAAGGTCACATGTTTTAAGAGTTTTCCCCACTACAAGAAAAAAAGACCGTAATGAAAAATTTTGCTACACCATAGATGATTATGATCACGTTCAGAGGTCAATGCGCCGTCAATAAATCGATTATCACGTCAGAAAAACAAGACCACGTGGTTGGGAAATGATTGTATACAACATTTTATGCTATATAAGTAAGTAATATTTTTTCAAATCAAATTAACTTAATTTTAAATATGCTAATTTTCCTCAAATAACGTTTCAGAAGTATATATTTTATTTTTGCAAGATTTTTAAAACGGAAAAATAAGTTTTGTTTACAAATGTCTAAAAAATGGCTGACGTGATCGATTTTACTGAAAAAATGCAATTCTATTCCAATCAATATAATTTCTGTCTGAAATACACCAAAGTATTTTGCTTACTGGATATAGTAAATTTAATCCTTTAGCTTTCATTTAAAGCTAACTTGAAAACTTCAAGAAGAGTTTTTCATTTTCAAAAGTTCATTTTAAACCTTACGTACACCGAATTTGTGGAGGTACCTAATATTGGGTTGGTGCATAATTATCAGGCGTTTTTGTAGGTATTATTTGTTTATAAAAATTACTGTTTTGTTTATTTATTATATT